AGTGCTTATTTTTAAGTACTTATTTGAATAAATACTTATTTACGTCAGATCAATATCAATAAGCACTTTTTTATTGTTTGGTAAATAAACCCCAACAAGTGCTTGTTCAAGGAAATACGCCTGCTTTGAATAGGCATGAAGAAAGAACTTATTTTCAAATACTTATAGCTTTCTGACCTGTCTTGACCCATCACATAATTTTAAAATACCTATATCACCCCATTTGAAAGAAACACTGGTAATAAGCACTTATTTTAACAATAATTAAGTACTCGATCGCTTAATTGATTGCAATTGGAAGACTAAAGTTTAAAGGAACTCAACTAATCAGCGTTAATAAGTTTTAATTTACTACGCGTTTTCGTATGTTCCGTTTAGTACTGCTATTTTTCTAGAATAGAATTTTGTTCTAATTAAGACTCTGAACCCTGAACAAATTCATTAATCATATAACAATCAACAAGGAGCTGGACCATCAAATTCACTGCCACATATCAAAGAAAAAAAGGAATAACTTTCTTTTGATAACTTTAGTGGACCGTATTCCTTGAGAAAAAGACTATTCATGGAAGCCCTGTAAAGCAAGCTGATACGGACTAGAACTGTAACTGTGGTCCATCAAGAGTTTCTGATTACTCTGGGCCAAGCCACTTTATTCCTCCACAAAGTTGAAACAGAAGGGGGTCATGGTAAGGAGATCCCGGTGACCCATTTAAAATTCAGTCCATGAAAAGATACATAATGGGGTGGGCTTTCCACATGGGCCCTTTGATTAAAATTCTGAAACATTAATTAGTACTGTGAATCATCAAGGAAAGAACCCAACAGCACATGGTAGGGTTTTGGAGCAATCATCAGTACACCTGGCAAAGATAAAGGTAATTGATCCATTAAATATAAATTAATGATCAAGTTCATGTAATTTTGGATCAACATTCCATGATTTTTCTTGCCATGCTTTGGATCCATTTCATGAATTCAGACATGGGCACAGCCATCCATGCCATGCCAGACTTCAGAAGACCATGGAGTTGGTAGACCAGAATTGACCCTTGGCCTGCCCAAGTTGACCCATCAAATGAAGACCAGGGTGTTGATACCTAGATCTAATTTTGTTCCGAAGTAAATGGTTTGTTGGTTGAAAATACATGGCTCCTACCACCACATTGGAGGACATCCATCCTACCATAACCATTTTATACACTAATTTTAGGTTTTTGGGTTAGGATTTAGGAATTTATGGTTTAGGACTTAAGGATTTAGAGTTTAGAGTTTAGAGTTTAGATTATACGGTTTAAGGTTTAAGATTTAGGATTTAAGGATTTAGAGTTTAGATTTTAGGGTTTAAGATTTAAGGTTAGGATTTAGGGGCTTATGGCCTAGAGTTTAGATTTTAGATTTTAGGGGTTTAGGGTTTAAGGTTAGGACTTAGGGTTTAGGATTTAAGAGTTTAGAGATTATAGTTTAGTGTTGAAGGTTTGGGAATTTAAGATTTAGATGTAAAAATCAGTAGGTGATCCAACGTGGTAGGAGTCAAGTATTAGCCTAAGTTGGTAGCCATGTAAGGTAATGCCAGGTGGAAAGTAAAGGAAAGAGAACAATATTTGGGTCGTTGAAAAGGTTCTAGTTTCTTGAACGAACTTGTTCCTTGTAGTCAAAAAGAGTAGCCTTGGGCTAACTATTCCCCTTAGATTTGCTACTAGTTCAGAGTTCATCACATCAGATTCCTCCAAACTGCCCACACGAGAGAGAGAGAGATGGGATGGTTTGCTGATCATCATCATTCATTCTCATGGATGATGGATGGTTCGTTCACAAACGCCAAGAAAAAGGGAAGAGAGGAAAAGCAGAGACCTTGACGTTTCGCAGAGAAATAAGGGAAGGAATTTTTGCAGATCGATAAATCTTTTTCTTTCACTCAACTCTACTGTTGGTGGCAGTGGACACGTAAGTATCCTGCACCACTCAACCATATGTTGACTGACCCACCCACCCCCATCAACAACCACCACCATCACGTTCACACTCACACGTTCTTCTCCCCGTTCTCTTCATCAGTCTTCTTGAGTCTTCTTATTCACTTGAGCTCAATCAAACACAGCGAACGACAGTGCCTACACTGGGATCAATGGATTTTGGACTCCGTCTGTCCATATTCCTAAAACCTTCAGCTTGCTGCCTAATTGGCTCAGCCGCTCAGCCAAAACCTTCAGCTGCTTCGTTGCAAGGACAATGCATATATATAAGGCAATGATCGCTCGGAGATAAACATCCCAACTCAACACAACACATACTTCATTCTGAGGTACCTAGCTTACCATAATTATAAGCAACTATATATACTTCCTACACACATCACCAATCCCTGAACAGTAATGAGAAGAATCTTAACGCAGTGTTCATTATACATGCTAACCATAATGTAATCTACACTCACCCTTGTTTTACAGTGTTTATACAAGGGTGAAAGCAGGTCTCTAATCCTACTCGTGACAGTACTATTTCTTTAAGGGTCGTTTCACCACGGCTGAAATGGCTGAACTGAATGACTTGTTGCTTTGTCCAATAAGTGGATACATGATATAATAGGAACATAATAATCAAGACAACATCACATTCAACCATTAAGGAAAACACCACAACCCACTCATCAGTTCAGCCACTAGCCATTTTTGAAGAAGCTGGCTCCTAATTAATACTTTTATTATGCTATGCTTAAGGTTGATGAAAACCCTTGTCAGTATTAAACAGTAAGACATATATCTCGGATATTGAGTTTTTTGTAGTATTTGAGTAGGGTTCCCTTGGGCGACCTCCTCTCATAGACAGAACTTTACTGCTAGAACATTTCACTATTTCAGGATAATCTACAGCTTTATTGACATAGTATCCAAAAAAAAAAAAAAAAAAGAAAAGAAAAAAACACAAGTTACAGTTACCTAGTCCAAACTGATGGTTGTTCATGATTCTAATTTCTAGAATGGTTATTGAATTCTTAGGTTAATTCCAAAAACAAGGCAAATGGGTTAACCCATTAATTAACATATTGATCATGAAAACTATAGATTTCTGCAGTGAAATTGGAGAATCATATTGGTGCATTTTGGGGCCATGAAGATTAACTATATTTAGCTTTCCCGTGTTATTAATCCTTTGTTCTTTCTGTGCATTTGAGGCATCGAAAAGACTCTAAATAGTTGGCATTTGAGATGGTTTAAACAAAAAAATAATAATACAGTGGATAGAGCTATGAAGCTAGCAGTGTAATATTCCAATGGATTATATGAACAATGAGAACAATATAGAAGAGCTTTTGCTCCATCTCCAAACAAAATTTCAATTGCATTTGGTGCACAACTTCAAGTTCCCAATTTTTATGTATTTTCTTTTTCTAGATTTTCTTTGAGAATTGTTTTCTGTTTTTAGTTTTTTTATTTTTTATTTTGAACTTGGAGTAATAAAAAATTTATATGACCAAAAAATTGGTCAAATAAACAGGTTACTGTATATAAAAGTCAGGTAAATATGTGCTTCCATTTCATTAAAAATAAAAGATTTGGCATATTTTATATGCAATATATCATATGTATAATACCTAGCAAACATTTATCTATAAAAATATAAGCTAAGTTTTAATTGTAAAAGACTTAAATATTTCTTTTTTCTGTTCCATCATTTTTAAATCCATTTCATTCCTCTCTTGTACATTTCTCCCAAATTAATCATCTACTTTCTGTACATCTAAAAACACATATATACTACATCTTCTTCAAAAAATGAATAGGGCATATAATATAAGTATTATCAATAAAAGTATCTATGTGAGTATAGAGGAAATTCCAGTAACTATATCTGTTGGCTAAGGATGATCAGACTTAAATAATTCCTTATTTAGTTAACTAGTTATATAGCATATAGGAATCTATGCAATGCATACAGCAATTTAATTAAGATTGGTTAAGAGGCTATAGAAAATAATATACCCAAGGGGAAAATGTTTCTCCAACAATATTTATGGGAGATGGTAATGTCTAACCCCATTTTTGAAAAGCATGGGATGTCTCAGCCAGTTTCAAAAACCATGGGAGAAGGAGAAGTTTGAGTGATTTTCCCTGAACTACTAAACCAATTTAAAAAAAATATCCCCTGAACCACTAAACCAGTAGTACTTTGAATTCTTTACTAAAACAATTTGATAAAACTCAAACTACATACACAATTAAAAGGTTTATCTCATGTATCAATAAAAAAGGAGTTGCACCTCATGATTATAAACAATGTATCCTAACGGCTGTGTTTGGTTGCAGTGCATTCTTATTTGCACCAATACAAAGGCATGGGAGTGCAAATGAAAAAATTGCAGATTCTCGTTTAATTTTATTTTGGGTTTTACTTTATTCATGTCTTAATTTATTTCATTTGTACTGCAATCAAATAAAATAAGTTAAAATTTGAAAAAAAAAGGTCAGAATTTACATTCAAATCATTTGCACTGTCATAATTCTGCATAAATGCAAATTTATTTGCATTACAATTAAACCTAACATCAAAGGCAATTAGAGTCACTTTTCACTGATGTCATTTTGTATTCCATGCATGTTTCCAGCTTGAGAGAGAAACACTGCAAATAGTCCTTTAATTGATAACTAGCAGGCAGTCACCTTTCAAAGCTCAAGATGAGATTGACACCCCAGTAAGTGCTAGGCAAGCTCTCAACTACAGTGGCTGTACTGCGCAAGATTGCAGAATGATCAAAACTAGAAGTAAATAAACTAAAACTAAACCCTCCAACTTTCCTTGAAAGAAAAGCAACTCTACACACCCAAAAGTTGATGGAGATCAAGTTTATGATATCACCCAAGATGGACATCTGTATAAGATTATCTGACATGGCATGATACGTATGGAAATTATACAATACTTGAAAAATAGAAAAAAAAAATAAAAAAGAAGCCAAGAAGAGCAGATTCCCATGTATATAGATATTATATATACTACCTTAATAAAAAACTACAATATCCTTCCAAAGATCTGTCTTATATATAATCAAGGTCACTACATTACATTCATCTTCTTATCTGATATCAGAAAACCTAAGAAACCTAAGACTGAAGGAAGCACAAAGCAAGCAGCCCATTTGATGCAACTTCATCTCTTTGTCTCAGCCACTTTAATTCCTAAACCTGAAACCAGTCAACAAATACAAAACTTCTTCATTTGTTCAAGTTGGAGAGAGAGAGAGAGAGTAATGTTAAATGATACTGCATGTTCATGCACATGGATCCCTTGATATGGCAGAGCTCAAACATGGTTGATATTGTAGAATAAGAATCCATGGATTTAAAATATTAGGATCATTTCCTTTGTTTGGGTGTGTGTGTGTGGAATGGCAGTTACCGTGCGCCAAAGATAGTAAAATGCGCCGTGCTGGAGGGATTGTAGAGTAACGCCCCACTCGTTGGTGAGGACCGGCTGGCCGGACGAGTTGACGAGGATGGCGTCGTCTCCAAAAGCCTCACGCACGTTCAAGGGTCCCACAGCCACCTCGAAGGCCACGTCGTTTATGAACACCGTTGATTTCACCGCTGCAGCCGGAATCATTCCATTTCCACCTGATTCGCCAACCCCTGAATACACAGAATCATTCATAGTTTCATACAAGAAAATACAACGAAAAATAATAAAATAAAATAAAATAATTAGGAAGGAAAAATCTGATGACGTGCTTCGAGTCTTCGGCTAAACCCAAAGCAGTGGTCAATCAGCAATAGCAGCCATGCACACGTCCTATCTAGAAAAGCGTGATTCAACTTCAAAGACCATTATATCCTCGTTATCATTCTAAATTGACAAACATGTCCTTGACCCCCTACCTACCTCCTCCATCACTCCACCTCCCCCACGCAGTAACATGAAATGAACGTTCATGCTTGCAGAATTCCTTCATAAATTAAAACAAGGACGAAACGAGACATATATTCTCATCATTCGTTGGTGTCTATTTAATTCATTTAATTATTATTTTATCAAATTCGAGATGCAGAGAGAGAAGAAAATTTTCCGTGTAGTGAAGATGCATAAATCGCAAAGAATACCTTGTATTTGATTGAGAGCTGTAGTATATCCTGTAGTTGTAGTAGTCACTGGCGCAGTAGTGATGGTGGTGTAGCTGCTGAGTTGCTGGTTCAATTTCATCTTTACTTGATCATCCTTCTTCGGAGCTCCTTGATTAATCAGGTCGTTAAGAAGGAGACTATCTGGGCAAGGATTAGTGAGTTGATCAGGGATTTGAACGACGTTCGATAGCTCGGAGAAGCAAAATCCCTGCGAAAAGGACGGAGACTGCACCGGGAAGAAGAAGGGTTCTGGGTTGAAGTCCACGTGGAGCTGGGGCTGGAAATAGGTCTGGTTAACCGAAGTCGTCGGAGAATTAGATGCTTCGATCACATTGTCCCCACCCGCCGGGAGAGGCTTATCGGTTCTCCTCGGAGGTGACTTCTCCGATGAAGAGGAGGAAGATGACGCTTGCACAGCGACGGCTGGGGCTGGGGCTGGGGAAGTGGTGACCGGAGCAGTTTGAGCCTGGGATTTTGCAGACTGGAGGTGTCGTTGCTTGTGCTTGCTTCTTGATTTCCTGTTTTGGAACCAGTAGAAGACGTTGGCATCGCCGACTTGGCCGTATTCCTGTAACTGAGCTCGTATCTTCCTTATCTCGTCTCTGGGTGGATTCACCATTCCCGAGTTGAATATCGCTTCGAGTATGCGTATCTGCTCCGGTTTAGGGTTCCATCTCGGCTTCGGTTCGGGACTCCTCTCTTCGCAACCTGGCACTGTCACAAACAGATTCTTATTAGAGATTGCAAACGTCATAGTTTAGGGTTCCATCTCTCTCTCTCTCTCTCTCTCTCTCTCTCTCTCTCTCATACTGGTATAAGTAAACAGTTTTGGCGAGCTACAAGAAGACCCAGAAGTAAACATGTTAAAAATAGACAACAACAGATTGGGTTATGATCATACAGTACTGTGAAGGATGAACAAAAAGAATTTATCAGAAAAGGAAAACAGACAGAGATAACAGTAAGGCCCTGGAGTTAAATCAAGGTAAGACAACCTTCGACTTTCATCTCCACTCAGAATTCATCAACTGATGGAATATTGGCAGGCTGTAAAGCTAGAACACCCCAACTCTTTCTAAACATGAGCAGGGTCCAAGAAGCTATGAGAGTAGAACATGATAACACAACATCAGAAAGAAGAAAAAAGAGAACATAAATGTCGATCGATTTGTTGTTATTAATTACTAAGAAGGATATATTATGATTACCTGGTGCATATGGGGTTCTCTGGCATGGAGTTGACATGAGAGATGGGTTGATGTCATGTTGCCATTGGTGGTGAGTGTTGCAGGGTTTGGACTTGAACATGCTAGGCCAGTGTCTGTTAGATGAAGCCATGATTGATGATGATAATGGATATTGCCAGGTGAATGTGAAAGCTAAACAATGCTAGCAATCTAAGTAGCCAACTGGATTAAAAAAAAAAAAAAGAGAAAAACAACAGATAGAATCCCTATCTCGGCCCTTGTTTGCGGTACTGAAACCTCAGGGAACACAAAAGACCTCTTCTTATACTTATAGCCTCTCCCTCCACCTAACCCTGTTCAGTTCTCCTCTATTAATAAAACAGTCCTTCCCATCTCCCAAAGAAAAATAAAAAATAAGAAAACCATACTTAATAAAAAAAAATAAAAAATAGAAACAACTCTGATACAACAAAAATTTCCCTGTAAGAAGTTGAATATAAGAATGGCAATAAACATTATGAAAGGAAATATAAAGAAGATGGAGAGAGTACACTCCCATCCATTCCTTACACTTTTGCATTAAAATTCAAATCTTTCTGCCCATTACTCAAAAGTACAAGCCAATTCTCTCAGATGCCAAGTTTGGGAAGCATGGAAAAGCTCTCCTGCTGGTGCTTAATTGGAATTTTTCTCAGAGAAAATAAAGCCAGAACTCTTTCAGTGTAAGGAGAGCACCAGTGCAATATAGATGAGATTGGTAGCTTTAAAAAAGTTGAGCTATTTTGGTCAGTTCTCTTTTCCTTTTAGTTTTATTCTTCTTATTATTAATTTTTTAAGGAGAGGATTCTCTTCATTTGGCCTGCTTGCAGAGAGTATTAATGGAGGGAGAAGGGGGCTGTACCGCTGTAGCTTTGGGATTTTTCTAATAGGAGAGGTTGTTGCAGGAGTAAATAAGGGGGGGTTTGAAAGTCAAGAGCATGAACCATGAAGTGGGGTTTGATTGGAAAGTAGTGGTGAGCAGTAATTGCAGGGGATTGGGTTATTTTGGGCAAAGTGAGTTCGGCTTTGGATTGACTCGAGGGCTCATTTTCAAACTCAATCTCTTGCAATTTTCAAACTTGTCAAAGCCAAATTAAATGGTTATCTATCTAATACTAATACCAATAATCAATTCAGTTCAATCCCTAATAATTCATGATAGATAAACTAATTAAACCGAGTTACAGGAGTTCAAAAGTGGGTATTTGATTTTGAGGACGCTGGACGCAAAAGAAAGAATATTGGTTGGAGAAGGGATGTTCTTGATAAGGTCTTTTCCCAAGTGCTTGACATTTCTTTTGGTAGATTGTGCTTGACACTATGTATCAGTCTTTCAACTAGTACTGGCTAGAATTTGACATTGCCTTCCGATTGATGGAATTTCATCATCAAGTATCTTGTCAAAAGATAATAAATAAAAATATTGATATATTTTGGTTATCAAAAAACATGTTTCCTCCATTTAATTGCAACTGAGCTTAAGTTGCCTAACAAGTACATTTCTTATCGTATGCCATTGTATTGTATTCTGACTTGTGACTGCATCCTCTGATCCTCTATTCCTATGTAGCCACAGTTAGTGAATATGTATATGACATCATGATGAGTTTAAAGGAAAACAATGCCTAAGACATTCAGTCGGGCATATAGAAGGTAAAGTAAACAGATGGGTTAAGAATGGATACCCATTTAGTACTTTGTCTTTTAGAAAAACTGGAATGAAAAGTTTGGCATAATTTTGATCATGCAAATGTATGTATGTATGTATAATTTATAAATAAATTAATATGCATATATAAAAATATGATCATATTATGAAATTATCATTAAGAATATATATAATATATTTCTATCCCCATACTTTTGAAAATCCATATTATTCACATATTACACATTTTCTATGAATAGTTTGGCTGCTAATACATTTTTAGTCGAAATATGAATTTATGCATATAATGCATGCATTTACATTCATAACTTTGCCTTTGTTTATTTGTTTTGTTTTACTTGTGGAGTTAGGGTTTGTTGTTTAATTAAATGGGTTAGGTTGTGCTGGAAATTTATGCAAGATGACCAAATTAAACTTCAATTTTGATAGGATAATATTTATCTTTCTTGAGAAAATTGTAAAGGAACTGGTTATTCCAAATCCCTAGCAATATTCTCCCCCTTTTGCTCTACACACTCCCTTTATAAAATGCCTTAATTTTGACTAAAATAACCCTATAAATTTTGTCTTATAACATTTAAAAACAGTCTACACTATCACCAAAACAGGAAAAACGTCTAAAGAAAGTGGCAAACTGGCAATAGCTACCCGTTAAATAAAATGGACAATGCAGTAGCTAAGTGAAAATTGAAAGAAAAGAAAAGAAAAAGAATATAAGTATATATAAATAACCCTTTTGTAAAAAACTATTTAGTTGGTGTGAAAGTTATGTTTGTGTGTTATTTATGTTGCACAACCAAGGATTTTTTTTTTCTAAGTAAGAAATTAAGTTGTTGTACTAAAGTTGCATGGATTGAAGAGCACTTGAAAAGGGTGTATATAGTGATGGTGTGTTACCTTTTCCACTGAAAATATTCAGACATCAAAAACAAGGAAAAGGATAAAGATCTGAGTGGGATCAATTTTGATTCAATAAAAGGGTCTGATGTTGACTCCATGTAGAGAAGATAATGAATGAATATACAAATAAAAAAGGCATAGAAACTGCAAAAGGGAAAATGAAAATAAGCTGGGGGTGGGGGTCCCTCCATGGCATATAGTGAATTCTAGTGCAACAAGGGAATCCCCATCTTTATTGAATGACAACAAAAGAAACCCTAATAAAAGTTAAAAGCAATAAAGTCAGACAAAATTAGGGTCAGGTTTCCCGTTCACTACTTCGGTTGGGTAGTGACCAAAGCCAAGAATTTAATATCTCTCCCTCTCTCTCTCTCTGGTCTACAACTCCCCATGCAAAGAGACTTAAAGGAGAATTAATGGTTGGGCTACGTGGTGTCGGTGCGATTCCGACATGCAAAGTTCACACCCCATTCTTCTGCATTCCATCTCATCAATTATACAATTATTTAAAATCCCCTTGTCCACCCCATCTCCTGCAACCCTTCTCTCTCTGTCTCTGTCTCTCTCTCTCAAAAGTCTCAATACCAACCTTCATTGTGGTTAATTGGTTTTTGTTGTTTGAGCAAACCTAATTGTATCTATCTTCCAGTAATCTCTAATCAAGTCTATATACGTGGTATACTGGTATACGTAAGAGAGAGAGAGAGAGGTTTATAGGGAAGGACCCATGACCCATCAAACCAAAGGTGGATTAATGCTTCAGTGGGAGTTACCCAATCGCGAGAACTAATCAACCAGCAAATTAACATTTGTTTTTAAGCACACCAAATATTTCTTTCACGAAATAATAAAATAAAACATTCACGTCTTCGTCTGGTAGTTCTCTACGATCCTGACACAAAGGAAACATGGGATGTCACGGCCACCCGACTTTTCTCTTTTGCCATTGCCATCACTCCCTCTCTCTCTCTCTCTCTCATGATTACGACTTTCTGAAGTTTCAAGAAAATAAAAAACAAACAGTGTTTCACTTTTTTCTGTTTCGGTCTTTTGGATTTTGCCTCTCCCTCTCCCTCTCCCTCTCTCTCTCTCTATCTCTATCTCTATCTGTTAGATTTATTGAGAAGAAAGAAGGGGGGATACAGAAAGTGCAGAATGCAATCCCATCATAAGTCCAGAACTGAAGTCGACCCATGCACGTACGATAGAAGGAGGGTGAAGTAGGAACTTGTTGGTGTGGTGTCTCTTTAATTCACTCTTTCCTAACAGTGTGCATGCGTGTTGGTTAGGCTTACCGGTCCCCCCACCCCCCTTTAAAGCCCTTTTCTGTTTGGGGGGGATCCTGTGACAGACCACGTTTCCCTTCTTTATTTACTTTTATTTCTTTATTCTTCTTGTTCCTCCCTTTTCTGGTGACATGGGAGAGTAGACACAGAATTGAATTTGACATCCCCAGCAACGAAACCCGAGACATTGTTGCTATACCTATACTATACAAGCCCCACAGGTTCCTTTTTTATTCATACCTGCACCCCAACCCAGCTCATGTTCCAGACGGATCCTGTTGGTAGGGGTGCTCAACAAAAAACCAAAAAAAAAAAAAAAAAAAAACAAACCGATAAATTCAGTTAATCGAACCGATAGATTTTTTTGATGTTTTTCAAGAACTGGTGGTGCTGGAATCATCAATTTGATTTTCAATTAAACTAGTGGTGAATTGAACGCACACACATATATAGAGCTTGTTTGAACTAGTTAAAATTCGTTTGTCTTTTTGGCTATTGCTTATATACCAATGAGTGATGATCCTTTACAGTATTTATAAGTCAACTATTGATAGTTTATAGGTAATATTGGACTGTTGGTAGAGTCATAACTATTGCTAGTTTAACGTCTTTTGTTTCACTAAGCCACACTAAAACAAATGTGAATTAACATGCTATATTGATTTCTGTTTAGCCATGAAAGCTAGCTTTTTATGCACTTTTTAGAGTTTTAGGACTTGAGAGAGAAAGTGAGAGATTGAATCATTGAGCAGAAGTTTATGAAGGAGGAATATAACCTGACTGCTCCATTTGGTTGCATGTTAATTGAAGGAAAGGAGAACAAATTCCTGGGAATTGCCATTTTATATGATGTTAGTTTGTTTAATGGTCATTGATAAATGATAACAAATCTTTTCAAAAAGTGAGTGGTGGAAATAATTTGTTTTCCTTTATTTTGTGTGAAACCAAATGCACATGCATCAGAAATAAAAAAAAAAAAAGAAAAAACACACAAACCCACAACAAATAAATTTAAACAAAAAGACTTTGTTCTTTCTTTTAGGATTATGTGATTAGTAAGATTACAAACACATTATATTATGTTACATTGCATGCACATAAAGTTTCAGCTTAGGTCCTCAGCCTTCCTTTATTTATACTGTTACGAAGCACATATTTGTTTTGATTTTAGTGCAGGTCTTAAAATTAAATTTCATTATTTTATAATGTTAACTTATATCTTTACCTTTTTTCTACAAACCCATATAACCATTATTCTAAGAGAAAAGAATTACAGTGCCATGATCCTAGACTGTGATGATAATCAATCTTCACCAAATGCATGCATCAATTTAATTTCAATCTTGATTAATTCTGAGGAATTATTATCTGGAATTGGAATGATGGAAACAGAAGTTGTCTAGCTAATTTGCTTCTCTTCAAAATTGAAATCTATAGAGATTATAAATTTACCACCCTCATCACTACCAAAAACCTTAAATGAACTAAACTTACTTGCACATGGGTCCCAATAAATGTACCTAACATCTTATAGAAAATTGAAGTGGGTATGTGTGTCTACCAAGGAATACGTTTACAACATTCACTAAATGCAAACGTTCTTGCAGTAAATTCACAACATGCTTGCTTAAATGCATGCTTTTGGTGCAACATGTGACCATTATTTTATTCTACATATTGGTTGAAATTTTAAGGCCAGATAAAAACTTTCAGTTACTGCTCCGGCACAGAAAATTTTGTAAAAACTAAAAAAA